GATTAGATGTCGCTCTTAGCTCCCAACATTTTGTTACCTAAATTCCCCTACTGTGGATTACGCCAAGGATGAATTTCCACAGGCTTTATGTATCAAATGGACCTAAGTGAGCGACCATATTTTACTATTCTCACTCTTTACCTCCATGATCACTGCACCCCTGTGTCTTTCTGCATGTTTCCGCCCGATAATTTATTTTAATTTTACACTGATGTTGCTTATCAAACTATTCATATCGGCAGACGTTCGATAGATGACCCAGACATATTTTGATTTTATCATATTCACCTCAACCATCCTACGGGACGTGTCAAGCACTTGCTTTTATCCCGTGATAAATCATTGTTCATTGTTCATTGATTCCTCCACCTGCTTATATGTATGCAACTTGGCAGCTGTGATACTTGCAAAAAATTTTGTACAGAAATAAGGGCGGGGGAAGATGCAAGAATATTTAAACAAGATGATATTTCATCAGTACATGTGAATATACATGACAGTTAAATGGGTTGCTATCAGAGGAGTTAAAAATGCCCCTTACTATTAAACAACAGTTGCGATAATATTCTACCGTTATCGAAACATTTGCTTTTCAAGCATGCTTACAGGCCTAACGAAACTAATTACGCCGTTGACTTCGAGCTATGTATTTAGTTAGCCCATATTTGACAAACGCTAAGCAAAATATACATTTCCTGTCGTATACTTTAATTTAACATGATTGGAACTAATAAACAAGGAACAATGATTTAGCATGGTTAAATACGCATGTGCTTGACGAGCCCCGTTGGATAGTTGGAGTAAAAATTAACATTTGTAGGATCATCGACAATGTAACTCGTTATTTCAAGCTTCCACTAAGTTAAATGCACTACTGCATAAGGATAGTTTCAAGTGGGAATGAGATGTGCACACGCAAAATAATATAGAGAGCTGTTATAGTTCAGTAAGTGCGTGAGAAATGAAAACAGAAAATGACAGCGCTCGCTCGTTTGTTTCTTCATTTGACAGATGTGATAGGTTAATCCAGTTAAGCTACATCCAGTCTAATCACTTGGACACTACTGTATGTATCCTCACCGCCACGTTGCGGAGATGAACGTTAAGCACATGGTTATGTTTGTGCTGTTTCGTCCTCCAAGTAAAACGGACTATATCGAGTAATGCCAGTTGGAAAGCGTTTTATCAAGGCGTTTTTTGAAAAGCGTTAATGTACGGGCAAGGATAACGGGAGTCGGAAAGGCATTTCAGGCACGGGACACACGGAGGGAGAAAAGATTGCCTCGACAAGCAAGTCCATGGTAGGGCACAGTCAGTTTGTGCTGCCTACCTCTCAGGTTTGTAGTTTGGCTAAGCTGCAACAGATTGCGAGATGGGTGAGATGGGTTCGTCAGTATTAAGTAAAACATGATTAGATCTCCCCTCTAACGTCGATATTCACCGATGTACAATCTCAGAGACTGCAGTCTACGTTGGTAGGAGAGATGAAACTTACCTCTAACGAGTTTGGTCGCTCTATGTTACGGAGCTTCAAGTGCTTCGACGTCGCGCATGCGCCAGGGACGCCAGGTCTGGATCGCATATTCCACGTGAGGCCTCACGTAGGTTTTCAGCATTTGCGAAAAGATTGATGGCGCAAAATTGTCGAAAGCCATCCCTAAGAGTCCATGATATTGACTGGCTCCTTTTAATGAACATTCAGCCTGTATCGAACAACCAAGGTCGTCCTGCACGATCACCTCGAGGTCGTTTTCATGGGAAGCACGTTGTAACTACTGGTCCCCAAGTCGATATCCTTAGATAAGCTGATGTGGTGTGCTTACGACTTTGCACTTGGTCACGTTGAACTGGTGCAGGTTGTCGGATGACAACGTATAAGCCCTGTCGAGATCGCTCTGCAATGCCATGTGATCCTTCCATGTCCTGATATCATCCCAAATTTTGATATCATCTGCAAATAGTAAAAAATGCAACTGCAGTACACTGCCAAGATCGTTAATTAATGCAAGGAATAAACGTCGCCCCAGTACTGATCTTTGAGGTACGCCACACTGGACGTCAATTGGGTCGAAAATGGAGCTGCGGACTCACATTCAGTTGAGGTTGAGCGAGGAAGTTGCCGATCCAACCGAGTATAGGGTCACCGATTCCATAGCTTCGAAGCTTGTGCAGGAGAATGCGGTGGTCCAAACGATCGAACGCTTTCTAGAAGTCCAGGTAAACAACGTCGACTCCTAATTTGGCACAGGCTGACTCTGTCCAGCTTGCTCGGGCTAGAAGCAAGTTTGCAATGCAGGATCGATTTCAGCGGAATCCGCGTTTTTGTGACATTAGGAGGTTGTTGCTTTCAAGATATCCCATGAGCGCCTCTGCAATTATACGTTGCATTATTTTGGATAAATGTGGCAGGAGGTTGATTGGACGGTAGTTCGAGGGCTCCGAACAATTACCACTTTTTAAATAGGACTGATTAGTCTATGTTTCTACACTGTCGGAACCTACATTCCGTCGAGACAACGTTGAAAGAACCGAGCTTATGATTCGGCAAGGTTCATGGCCATTGTCTTCAATGCTTTTTGCTTGAAGTCGTCCACGCCAGGTGAGCTGTGCACGAGCAATGACATTAGTGTTTTCATCTCATTAGCTGCCGTGAACGATGCGTGGTTTAATCCTGGTGTCAATGGAATCTGTTTAAAAAGCGGATGAAATGATGATTTACTCCGGAAAGTATGGATAAAATGTTGGCAAAGCATTTTGGCTGCACCTTGTGCGGTTTGCGCAAGACCATCTGTTGCACGTAAAACCGGGATCCCGCGCTGCACTCTGCGGAGTTTGTTGACGTGTCTATACAGCAACTTGGGATTTGTATTGAATTTCGACGCTAAATCCTCTTGGTGCTGCAGTTTTTCTTCGCGGATCAACTTGACGCAGTGGTTTTGTTGGGTTGTGTAAGCACCCCAGGTCAGGTTACTTGGACAGACTTTGTAAGCGCGTCAGGCTGAATCACTTAAGGCTATGCATTGTCTAGTACGCCTCCTCTGGAACAAATACATATGCTTCGGGCGAAGGACTTTGCTTTCTGATGCATTTGCTACTAGCTCAGTGAATTGGGTGACGAACAAAATCCAGGCTACATTGCGCGGCTTCTCGGCCAGGAAGGATCAATCTGTTTCTTGAACGAATTTCGACAGTTTCCAGCTTGTTCTCACTGATGTACTCGGAATAACAGGCGTAACAAAAGAGCAATATCGCGTGATCTCTACGACCAAGTGGTACATCTATGGTCACGGTGTCGACCATTAGTTCTTCGCTGGGGAGGACAAGGTCCAAAACAGACGGAGTGTCACTCGTTCGAAATCGCGCAGAAGTGGTGACATGGTTGTACGGAAGTACAGCGGCGATCACCTCTTACAAAGCAGCCTTGAATTGTTCTCTGTGCGGTGCTGGAATTTCCATTGCGTGTAGGTTACAACTCCCCCACTAGAAGGAGGTGACTTCATGGTCGTGACATGACACGTTTCATCACAGAAGCTAGATATTGTTCCGTTTCCAAGGCGGTAAACTATTGCTAGTAAACACACATCACCAAGTCTTAGGGGAGTGCAACACCAAGGACCGTCGAGGACTTGCGTTTCTGGGTTCTCATTGACACCAACATACAGGTCGGATCGATAATACAATAGCACTCCCCTCCTCTGCTAGGTCAATGGTTTCGTTTGGAATGCATGCCGGGTAGTGCAATCTCAGCATCCGTGATCTCCGTGTTTAGCCATGTTTCCGTGACCATAACTAGGTCCCAAGGCGTGGAGGCCTGACGCATACGAAGTTCGGTTAGCTTGCTGAGAACACCTTGTACATTGGTATACAAGCAGATGAGGGCATCGGTGGTCAGAAGCGTGTATTTGAATGCTGGTTTCCAGTGAGGGTCTATGTCGACCCATGCGGGGTCGGCTGCCGGTCGTTTTTTGTACGACCGATGACAAAGGCCCTAAGACCAGCTCAAATTGTTGTATAGAGCTCTTAGCACCAACAAGAGGGTGATCATCCTGTCCTCCTTCAGCTGTCGGTATGTTTTGGCATTGTTTCCGTTCTGAGGTATGCGGTGACAGGATTGTATGGATAAGTTTCTCACTTAGTGTTACATTTTTTATCTGCGGCCCGGTGCCTATTGCCTTCATATGTATTTCGGACTGCAGCTTTTTACGCTTTTTGTGCCACAATTTAATCACATGTTCTACCATCAGTTCGGAGTGCAGTGATACTTTAATCACTCGGGCGACCCATCCATTGTAGTTAGGTGAAAGCGGTAAATTTGATGTCGAATTAGCGATAACATTTTCGAGTGAGAGTACTACACGAATAAAACGCCATTCATCCCAGGCATGCGCTTTGACCTCTAGCTCTCTTAGTGATTGAAGTTCGGGGACATTATGAATAAGGATAGATTTTGTGTCTTGTTGTTTACAGAAGTCATACGGAGTTTTATTGTGTTCCTGGAGTTCGCTCCAAGGAACATTTGGAAATATTCGAACAGTGCATGTGGTTGTACGGAGGCAAATGGCTGACAACAGAAATGTCTCTGCATCAATACCTGACTGAAATGTCACCTGGAGTAACTGCGGTTCACCGTAGTGTACGGAGTTTGGGTGACGAACAAGGCGCATCATACTGCCTGGTTTTGCTTGAACCCCTATTAGTTGACACAGGGAGTCATAGTGCATTTTATCGTCTAGTATCTTACCTTTTATCAAGTTCTTTAAGGATTCAGTCACATTATCATATCACGTCTAGAGAATTATGGTAGTGTTTCATGTTCTACTTTTTGGAGGAACCAGTGTTCAAAATTGAAGTAAGAGTACCGACCGATCAAAAGCTACACATTATATGCAATGTCGTAACGTAGAACAAGATGTTGCCCAACCATGGTTGTTTAGCTTCCAGTAATAACTCGATTTGTCGCGGAACCTGTTATATCCACTCTGTCTGCATTTATAGACACCATGGATCCAGAACAAGTTATGGAAGATGGTAGTGAAGTTCTCCAATTCATACGAAATTACTGGAACGGGATTCTACAGAATCAGTTTCCAGTTCTACCTGACTTTTCTACCATCAAACCTGGCTACTTACAAAATCTGATACCACGTGAGGCACCTGAAGAGGGCGAGGAAATGGTCAAAATCCTGGATGACTGCAAGAAAATGATACTCCCAGGGGTAAATTCACCACATCTATTCTTGCACACCAAAAGTGGATTCAGAAGTATGTGAAAGGGACACGAGTCACTAGATATGACAAAATACTTACAGCATGAATAGTTACGTTTGTTGGTGGTTGCGTACACACATATTTTGCTTGACCTACCGTTCCTACCACAGCTACGATACTTGGACCTTAGAAGGATTAGAACATATTGTTCCAGTTCAACGATTTTACATGAATATGTATGGCATTTCAGTCGAGAAACGTAATATGTGTTCGTATTTTAGTGTCAGGATATTGTTACTAATGACGGACTGGTGTAAAATGTAGGTTGCTGATGTAAAGCTTAAAGATAGATAGACAGCAGTAAAAATGCTCTGTGTTGCTGACGGCGAAAGGTTCAAAGCATGGTGTGTGCTGGTATCTACATGCAAATGGGTTTGGAGCAGTTCTCTGTTTCTTTGTAGGATTCAGTCAGTCGAGCCACTATGGACATAAATTGCATGATATAGTTTTATGTGTGGTCGACCGCCAGTACCGTAGTCCAAAGATCACATCTCTTCCGCATAATCACTACAGGTAGAGACAGCTGGGAATGTGATACAGAGTGATGCCATTGATAGACTAGATGATACTAGCTGCGCTCAAAATTTTGGTTGTGAAACATCTATCTAGAAATAACTAAAACAATGTGTTAAGATGACGAGAGCTAGTGAATGCATGTATTTCGTATTGTCTCCACAGTGCCATTACCGAAAACCGTTTTCCAATAATATAACTAATTACGAGTATGACAAAACATGCTTGAATTGTAAAAGGAATGGTGGAAGATCCACCACTATATCCAGGACAGCCTTAAGCTCATAAATATCTATTTCCGAAAACACTGGTTTAGAGCCTAGCGAATTATTGCCACAGCCTCGGCGAAACCGTAGAAGCGAGGATCAGCGTGACTTAACACGACTGTGAACGCCGTATCTGGTGACGCGCGGCCAGGATCTATTTACCTAGTGAGAAGCCTGGGGGCATGTGCAAGTGTGATGATACAAGGAGGCAGATTTGCTGGTCAAGTTGTATCCACATAGGCAACTGCACCTCTAATCAAGAAGACAAAGACCGATCAATGCGGCCAGTGTAAAGAGATCCGCAGGCAAACAGGAAATGGAAAATTCGGCATGAAATGGCCTTGATAAGCAAAGATTCTTCGTAGGAGGTAAAGAAAAAATACGAGTTCAGATAATGAACATAAATGCAACGGCGTGGAAATTTCATTCCTTACATAAAAGGAAGAACTTGGAGGCCATTAATAAAGGGAAGTCACCATTGGAAGACAACCCGCTATCCATCATTTAACTGGCTGCTATTTACACTAAGTTCATTACATCTCGCTATTGCCTGCGTATATCTATAAAAATGTAAGGCTAACCTATCAACGTGCACGTAGTTGTAATTAACCCTAAAGAATGTCCGAGATGTCCAGTCCACCTACATTGTTAATGCGGGAAAAAAGTCAAGCCTTCGGGTGGGAAGTGGAGTGCACTTACTCGCCAACTATCCACTAGTAGATGTTGGCCTATCTCAAAATGTCTTAGCAAGTCATATGGGTGCGGAACGACCCTATGCATGCATGTGGGTACATGTGTACTTGTCAGTATCATCCGTCGTGTAAGCACTGGATCAGGCGCGGATGGTTGAGTTGGAGTCAACCTAGGGCACGTCACAGAGCAAGTTCACCGATCGATACATACGGTGTGTCGGACTGGTTGGAAGGGAGACAGGCGTGTAAAATCGAAACAGCAGTGCCTCATTAACAGGCTACTGCGATAGAATTGTGATTGCACTTTGACAGGCGTAACTGACCTGAGCAAGGGGCGTGCAATAGGTGATAAGTGTTATCCCAGCTAATGACAAAAGGGTTATTGGCAACGCACTTGTAGACTGAAAGTTACGTTACAACAACCTTCCTCAACAACATGGGCATTCCTTACAATTAGATCTTGCACATATGAAGTGTGGCGTTTTGAGAAAGGAGTCATGAAAAGCTATGCCGTCTAAAGACTACTCGCTGACGCATAGCATATTCTCACGTCGCAGTTGCAGGAAACAAGTGTGATTACGCTGCCCAATTTGTCTCAGGCGGGATCATGAGCGTTCATTCCAACATACTCACTGTTGGGGAAATGTTTCATTAGCACGGAACTGAGAAGCTGCATTTCTAGCTAATATCTGATACTTGCGGATACTGAGAATCACGTATTGCACAAAGCGCGAAGCTCATGTGTTAGAAAAGAGTAATGACAAATCGTAGGACCACAGCCCACGCATGTGGATTCTCACTCATAATATGCATCAGAAGCCCGTTTTCCCTAATAAGGAGAAGCGGCATGTTTGGACTACCAATAACCCACGGCAATGCATCGCTTCGTGTGTGCAACATGGTGCACTTCTCATGACTTGATTTGGGTTGACCGTGCGAAAATTTGTCAGACCATTTTTCTTTTCCAAGTATGTGACATATAACGATTTTTTTGTAACTGGACTAACGGTTCACATTTCTTAGCATCTTAATACAAAGATATGTTGCAGTCCAAGATCGTTCCACAGCTGCAGCCTGAAGGCTAATTAAGTACCGGTTGGTGGTAGCAGGATGGTGCGCCTGTCCATACTACACAAACGGTATGTGATTACCTTAAGGAAACTTTGGGAATCGCTGTATCGGTCGTATAGGGCTTATTGATTGGCCTGCACGGTCTCATGATTTGAACACCCTGGAATTCTTCCTTTGGGGTACTTGAAACACTGGGTGTATAAAACTAGGAAACTTGTCTGGAGAAACTGTAACGGGACATTGTAAACGAATGCCGCTGTATATTGGTGGACACTTTGCAAAAGATGCTAGCAAATAGCATCCGGGCGAAAACTGTGAAGCAAGCGAAACGACAGTGGTCATTTTGAACATCTACTTCCGTGACGTTTTGCTCTTAAAACATACTTCATGTACACACATGTATAATGCTTAACAATTGATTGCACCACCATATAGCTGCGATGGGAAATGGTGCTAATACAGTGTCGGGGTTGAATGAACGCTACGAGCAAATTGAACAAGAAGGGTACGTAAGAAACGAGCGATCCTTCAATTGTCCGACAGGGTGCATGTGTCGCGGTTGATGTTTACTGTAATTTGACGACAGTGGACGAAACCGTTAAAGCACGGTAGGCTGCTTTATGCGGTTTTTTGAAAGCCAGGGTAACGCGCTTCCGTTGCAGCTATGATGTTAACCTCGTGGGTGTAAACTAACTCAATTATCCTTACTGCCATTCCTCTGCATATCATGATTCTCACATGGTAAGGGAATTATCGCTGGCAAATTGCGCAAGAGCTAAAGGTAGAGATGTTTTCAACGAGGATCTTTAGCTAATTTAGCACTTCGATTCAGCTGTTATAGCTTCAACTTAACGCACCTGCACATTATGCACAAACAGTTCGTCATTATCTTAAGAAGGTGTTCGGCCACCGGTGGATCTGTCGCAGAGGTCCAAAGTTTTGGCCTGCCTGGTCACCAGCTTTGAACCCCTTACTTTTCTTCTTATGGGGTTTTACGAAAAGAAGATTATAAAAGACAACACATACTTCTCTGGAAACCACTGAAAGACAGTATTGTCCATGAATAAAGCGCCATTAACATGAAACTATTGCAAAAGATTACATTGCATTGTCTCAGGTGATTTTCGCAGTGCAAGCAAAACGTCGGCAGTCACAATGAGCATATTCATCATTGACGGACATATCACCGTATAATGCTGTTTAGGTTAGTGTAAGTGTGCAGCATTATCACTGTTTTCTGGACTACATTGTTTCGCGGGCAAATGGAGCCAAATGTGCGTCGGTAAAGAATGAAATCTACGAGCAAAGCTGATTCGACAGCGTTTAGACTGACAACTTCTATGCAACTTGATTCACAATGCTAAAATTTGCTTCTAAATAATTATGTCTAATGACCACAGGGAGGATGTGAAGGTGTTGGTTCTGTCAGATGTGGCATCCAGGTTTCGTATTTGTATTCTGTTCTTCAGCGTACAGACTCCGGCTTGGGATAAGTGCTTCCAAACAGTAACATACCGATCACACAAAGGGAAAATAAAGATGGAATAACAACTTTTAAATAAAGATACAGTTCGTGAAAGCTTGGCTTCTCGATGCTGTTAATTCGATCTTCAGAGTTTCCTGAATAATGTGACAGAGAGGTTAACAAAGTCATAACGGGCTTGTGTTGCACATTATGAGTGAGAATCTACATGCGTGGGCTGTGGTCCTACGATTTGTCATTACTCTTTCCTAACACATGAGCTTCGCGCTTTGTGCAATACGTGATTCTCAGTATCCGCGAGGATCAGATATTAGCTAGAAGTGCAGCTTCTCAGTTCCGTGCTAATGAAACATTTCCTCAGCAGTGAGTATGCTGGAATGAACGCTCATGTTCACGCCTGAGACAAATTGGGCAGCGTAATCACACTTGTTTCCTGCAACTGCGACGTGAGAATATGCTATGCGTCAGCGAGTAGTCTTTGGACGGCATAGCTTTTCATGACTCCTTTCTCAAAACGCCACAATTCATATGTGCAAGATCTAATTGTAAGGAATGCCCATGTAGTTGAGGAAGGTTGTTGTAACGTAACTTTCAGTCTTCAAGAGCGTTGCCAATAACATTTTTGTTTTTAGCTGGGATACAACTTATCACCTATTGCACGCCCCTTGCTCAGGTCAGTTATGCCTTTGAAAGTGCAATCACAATTCTACCACAGTAGCCTGTTAATGAGGCACTGTTGTTTCGATTTTACACGCTTGTCTCCCTTCCAACCAGTCCGACACACCGTATGTATCGATCGGTGAACTTGCTCTGTGACGTGCCCTAGGTTGACTCCAACTCAACCATCCGCGCCTGATCCAGTGCTTACACGACGGACGATACTGACAAGTACACATGTACCCACATGCATGCATAGGGTCGTT